GTTGTCATGGGCGATTTTAATTACCCGGACATCTGCTGGGAGGAGCAGTCAGCCGGGACGGACCGCTCCAGGAGGTTCTTGGCCGAGTTGCAGGACCTCCACTTGATTCAGGAGGTGCACAGTCCCACCAGAGGAGATGCTCTGCTGGACCTGGTCCTGGCCGCAGGCGACGACCTGGTAAGAGGCCTCCAGGTTCTTGACCACCTGGGCAATAGTGATCATCGCGTGCTGGAATTCACCATCCAGCGTAGAGTGTCAAGGGCCCGCAGCAAGGTGGTGGCCCTAGACTTCAGGAGGGCCAACTTCAGTGAGATGAGGAGATTAGTGGGAGAGGAACTGGGGTCCTTGAGGGCAGAGGAACTCAGCGTCCAAGAGGAGTGGTCGTTCCTTAAGGAAACGATACTCGGGGCCCAAGGGGTGTCCATCCCGACAAGAAGCAAGGCGGGCAGGAGTGTCCAAAAGCCCCCCTGGCTCACCAAGGGTGTCCGGGAATGCCTGCTTGCCAAAAGGGTGGCGTACGCCCGGTGGAAGGGGGGTGTAATCTCCAAAGAGGAGTATACCTCCTCTGCTCGGGCCTGCAGGCGGGCTGTTAGGAAGGCCAAGGCGGAGATAGAGCTCGGATTAGCGTCCAGGATTAAGGATAACAAAAAGTCCTTTTTCAAATATATTGGGAGGATGAAGAAGGCGCCGGGTAATGTGGGGCCCCTGCAGGATATGCGGGGCAATCTGGTGGTTGCGTCAGAGGATAAAGCGGACCTCTTTAACCAATTCTTCACCTCCGTTTTCTTGTGCAGGGACCGGGACTTCCCTGCTGTGATAGAAGCCGGACGCGAGGGGATCGCCTTCAGACCTCAGGTTGGGGAGGACCGGGTTAGAGAGCTTCTGGAGGGGCTGGACGCGTTCAAGTCAGCGGGTCCGGATGCTCTCCACCCCAGGGTGCTGAGGGAGCTGGCTGGGGTTATTGCAGGGCCCCTGGCACGGCTCTACGAGCGATCGTGGTGCTTGGGCCAGGTGCCAGACGATTGGAAGGTAGCTAATGTGGTCCCCATCTTCAAAAAAGGGAAAAGGGAGGACCCGGGCAATTATAGGCCCGTCAGTCTTACCTCAATCCTGGGGAAGCTCTTTGAGAAGATCATCAAGGAGCACATTTGTGATGGGCCGGCATCCGAGATGATGCTCAGGGGCAATCAGCATGGATTTATTAGGGGGAGATCATGTCAGACCAACCTGATTGCCTTTTATGATCAGGTCACAAAGGCCATGGACGCAGGTGTCGCGGTGGATGTAGTCTTTCTGGACTTCAGCAAGGCCTTTGACACCGTCTCTCACCCCATCCTAATTAATAAACTAGGCGACTGTGGCATAGATGCCTACACAGTCAGATGGATTGCAGATTGGCTGAAGGGTCGCACTCAGAGGGTGGTGGTGGATGGATCATACTCGACTTGGGGGGAGGTGGGTAGTGGAGTCCCCCAGGGCTCGGTCCTGGGGCCTGCGCTGTTCAATTTCTTCATCAGCGATCTTGATGTTGGGGTGGAGAGCAACCTGTTTAAATTCGCTGATGACACCAAAATTTGGGGGGAGGTGAGCACGCTAGCAGGGAGAGAGAGATTGCAGAAGGATCTGGATAGGTTACAGGGGTGGGCAGACAGGAACAGGATGCGTTTCAATACGGACAAGTGCAGGGTGCTGCACTTGGGTAGTAGGAACCAGCAGCACACTTATACGATGGGGAGCTCCCTACTTGAGAGCACGGAGGCGGAAAGGGATCTTGGTGTCATTATTGACTCCAAGATGAACATGGGCCGACAATGCGAGGTCATGGTTGGCAGGGCTAACCGGACCTTGTCGTGCATCCACAGGTGCATCTCGAGTAGAGCCAGGGAGGTGATCCTCCCCCTCTATGCGACGCTGGTCAGGCCGCAGCTGGAGTATTGTGTCCAGTTCTGTGCGCCCCATTTCAGGAGGGATGTGGACAACATGGAGAGGGTCCAGAGGAGGGCCACCCGCATGATCCGGGGACAACAGGGCAGACCCTACAGTGAGAGACTGCGGGACTTGAACCTATTCAGCCTCCACAAGAGAAGGCTGAGGGGGGACCTGGTGACCGTCTATAAACTCACTAGGGGGAACCAGAAGGGTTGGGGGGAGACGCTGTTTCCCCTAGCCCCCGCTGCATAACAAGGAGTAATGGGCACAAGTTGATGGAGAGGAGGTACAGATTGGACATCCGAAAAAACTACTTCACAGTCAGGGCGGCTAGGAGCTGGAACCAACTTCCAAGGGAGGTGGTGCTGGCCCCTACCCTGGGGATCTTTAAGAAGAGGCTGGATACTTACCTGGCTGGACTCATTTGAGTCCCGTTTTTGTTTTTAGGGTGAGTGGTTTTGTTTGTGTTTTTTGGGTTGTTCTCCCGCCCTGGCGGGGGTCGGGCTAGAAGATCTATTAGGTCCCTTCCGACCCTAAAACTATGAAACTATAAAACTATAAGGGGAACACATGCCCCGCCCCCAACATGCCTGTGGCAAGGGGTCAGGCTAAATGACCTGTTCAGGTCCCTCCTGATCCTAGCTACTATGAAACTATGAAACTATAATAGGGTGTTTATGTAGACAGCCAAAGTTTACTGCACAGCTAATTAGTCAATTAGATAATTGCATAGCTAACTGCACAGCTAATTGCACAGTAAAGTCTTGCATAGACAAGCCCAGGAAGAATTAATAACTGTACAAGAGTAGAACAATAAGAAAGCAGGGGTGATGCGTAGGGGGTGCACTCAGGTGCACATGCAACCCCTGAGCGTGGCGGTGCAGCGCTACAAAAAGACGCCACCGATACTGTCGACAGTATCTACAGGCGGG